TGCATGGATCTCACCAACAGCATAATTTACTAGAGCTATCAAGCGATTAAAACATTTAATCACAATCGCACGATTAATTGCATGCACGGCCCTTTTGAAACGCTGACTCCAGGCTCAGTGCAGCTGCCTTTTTGAAACACCACCTCAGGGACAGCACCGCAGGAGCCTGGGATCAGCTCGAGTCCCCAGCTCATCCTAGGCTGAGTTTCACTGCCCCTTTGAAACAACAGGGCAGTGCTTCAAAGAGGCAGTGCTGCACAGCTGACCCCAGGTGCTGCCCCTTTGAAATGCAGCAGCGGTGTTTCAAAGGGGCAGCGCTACACAGAGTCAGCTTGGGGCTCCAGCTGATCCCAGGCTCCTACTGTGCTGCCCCTTTGAAATGCCCTGGCAGCATTTCAAAAGGGCAGCATTGCAGAAACAACCGTGATTAATGCGTTAAAAAAATGAATACATTAATTGTGCTCTGCATTAATCGCAGGCATTAACACATGTTAATTGACAGTCCTATAATTTACACATACTCATTTGTGAATTATTCCTGGGGCCTTCACTTCTCTGCTCAGGCTGAGTGCTGGCCCAATCAGCACCCCTCTGCTACCCCACCTACCTCTCCCCATTTTGGGACACCCTACTCCAGCAGAGATGGTCATTTCAAATTGTCCTGGGGAATGAGAAACAAATTTGTATATCTGCATGACTTGCCTCCCCTTTGAGGCTTACGAATTCTGGGTCTCCAGTTACCTGGTACTTCCACTCCATACACTGCAACATCTGTTTGATTGAGGATGTGACTCAGGATCCCCTCTACTTCTGTGGTGGAGACATTTTCCCCTCGCCACCGGAATGTGTCCCCACTGCGGTCTTTGAAATACATGTAACCAAGTTCATCCATCACTAAGACGTCTCCTGAGGGGGAGAGAAGCCACAAACAATCTCAATACCTGGCTTAGCATCAAGAAACCCTGCATCTCAGCACCCAAATATACCATCGAGGTCCAGCACATGCAGTTAAAGAGAAGACTATTCCAATCTTCCTGGGTGGTACACTGAGGGTGGAGTTAAATCAATAGCCATTTCCCCAATGCTCACAGGATCTTACGCAGGAACTGGAGGAGGGAAAAGAAACAAGAGAGAAACACTAAAACACTAAGGGGTGCGGTAGAGCGAATCAGTCCCTGTGAGTTTCTGCTTGTCGTCCATACATTCTATATGGAATCTAGAACACTGCACAGTTGGCAGAAGAACAAAACCCTAAGATAAGATTTCTTGTCAGCCTCTCCAAAAAGCTGATTAAACCCTGGGAACTCGAAGAGCCATTTCCCCTGCCCAATGATTGAAAGATATTTGTGTCAGTCACTGGTGAAGCCAGCACTTGGTCCAACAGTACCGGAAAGATATGCCTGGTCCCCTCTTTGGAACACATTGCATGCTATCTTCTTATTGGTGGCACTCTTGTTGACATAGCCATCGAACCTGCGTAAGGGGTCCTGCTGGTTTATTCTACCAACAAGAAGACCTGGCTCCCCTAGAAAAAAACAGGACAAGATCATATGAGACCACAACTGCTAACAAGGTTGGCCATTGTGCTGGCAGTTTTTGCAACACAGACAAACTTAATGCAGGTTACCAAATTGCTGTATGATGTATTTCGTTGAGAGGGACTATTTCTGAAACAGAGACCTGGAGGTGAAAGGCTTCACTCTCCACTGCTAGTTTCTTGAGCCAGCTAGTGCCCATTTGGTATTCTTGTGGAACAGTGAAACCTTTGAGCACTTGGTGTACACAACATTTACCTGGGCAGCAGGGGACACAGAGCCCATTGGAGTCACGGAACAGCTCCATCGTGTCTTCATTTACCTTCACCAAGCAAATGGGATAAATATTGGGCAAAATCCGGCTATTGAAACCACAGGCACCAACCTATCAAGAGACAGACTTTGTCAAACCAGGACTCAAAAACCCTTAGGGATGGAGATTCTACCACCTTCCTAGGTAACTTCAGTGCTTCACCACGACTATTCATTCCCTATTGATAAGGAAATCATCTCCACCACCAAGAGGAGAATTTGTCCTGTAAAAGCGAGACACCCAAAAACAATCACAGAACATTAACCACAAACAAAGTATGAGGCAACAGTGTGATACTGCTGCAAAAAAAGCAAACATTCTGAGATGTATTAGCAGGAGTGATGTAAGTAAGAAACAAGAAGTAATTCTTCTGCTCCACTCTGGGCTGACTAATCTTCAAATGAGTATTCTGTCCAGTTCCAGGCACCACATTTCAGGAAAGATGTGGCTAACCTGGAAAAAGTCCAGAGAACAGCAACAAAAGACTGAAGAGGGGACTTGACAGTTTTCAAGTACCAATATAACTATTAAAAGGAGGAACAAGAAAAATTATTCTCTTTAATCTCTGATGATAGGACAAGAAGCAAGAGTCTTAAATTGCAGCAAGGGAGGTTTAGATTGGACATTAACCACTGGAATAAATTGTCTAAGGAGGCTGTAGAATCTCCATCATTGGAGATTTTTAAAGGCAGGTTAGACAAACTCCTGTCAGGGATGATCTAGACCAGTGGTCTCCAACCTTTTTAACCACAAGATCACTTTTTCAATTTAAGTGCAATGTAAGATCTACCTCAAACCCAAATACCCTTGCCCCATTTCCTTCCTGCCCCTTCTTTGAGGTCCTGCCCCTGTTCCACCCTTTCTCCAAGGCCTCACCCTGCTCACTCCATCCCCTTTCCTCTCTATCCTCACTCACTTTCACCAGGCTGGGGTAGAGGGTTGGGGTGCAGACCCTGGTCTTGGGCCAAGGAGTTTGGAGTGTGAGAGGGGCTCCGGGCTTAGCCCAGGGTGGGGAATTGGGGTCCAGGAGGGGTTTCAGGGTGCAAGCTCTGGGAAGTAGTTATGTGCTATGGGACTCACATCTGGGGCAGGAGTTTGGATGTAGGAAGAGTTTCAGGGCTGGGACAGGAATTCAGGAAGCAGGCTCTGGCTGGGCACCGTTTAACTGAAATGACTTCTGGGTGGTGGAGCAATGGAGGTAAGGCAGGCTCACTCCTGCCCCAGCCTAGTACCACTCCTGAAAGCAGCTGGCATGTACTTCAATGGTGCCATGTGCTACCCCTCATCTACAGGCGCTGAGCCCACAGCTTCTACTGGCCACAGTTTCCTGTTATTTATCAATGGGAGCTGCAGGAGTGGTGTCTGCAGGCAAGGAAAGCATGTGGAGACCCCCTGCTCTGTCTTTCTCAAGGGCTGCAGGGACATGCCAGTCACTTTTAGGAGAAGCAATTACCATAGGGATAATTACTCCAGCCATGACAGCTTAAGCATTTTAGAACTCACTACTCAAAGAATAAAATTTAAGCATAAGAGATAAATGAAAATTATGAAATGCCCAGACCAGCCAAAAACCAAAAATAACACACTTTGCAAGCAGCAAAAGAAGTAACAACGACCCTCCATGTATGTGTTAGGAAACGCGAGTGAAGGGCAATGTGTGTTTGGGACAATGACAGAGACACACAATATGTGAGAGTGGGAGATTTGCATTGCCAAGCTCCCTCCATCCCTTTCTCTCTGTGTGGAGATAGGGTACAGAAGTGGGGGGAGGAAGGCTACCCTGACATCAGTGCCCCTCTTCATCTCCCTCCCAGTGGGTGGAGGGGCCACTGAAGTGCGGGCGCTTGATAGCTTCCTGGCCAAACCAGTCAGGATCACCTGTCAGAGGCTAAAAGAACTACCAGTAGATCCCAATCTAGTGGTTGGTTACCACTAATCTAGATGGTGCTTGAGTCTGTCATAAGTGCAGGGAACTGGACTTGATGACCTCTCAAGGGCCCTTTCAGTCCTATGATTCTACAATTCAGCTTTCTGCACCCCAGTGATAGAGTCCCAAAAGACACTATTCAGAGCATCCAAGAAAAAGAAAGGTTATCTCCCTCTGTACCTTATTCCTCTTAGTATGTATTTTTCCTCTTGCACTACAGCAACTCACCTTTCCATCCAAGTTAGCAATGCTGCAATTACACTCTGTGGCTCCGTAGAACTCCCCAATCTGTTTAATTCGGAAACGCCTGGTAAAATCTTCCCATATGGTGGGTCTTAATCCATTTCCCACTGCTAGTCGCACTTGATGTTGTGCTTCTGCCTCTCGTACTGGCTGGTTCAGAAGATACCGACAAATCTCCCCAATATACTGAATAATCTGAGGAAGCAAACACCAATAAAGATCAGTCTCCAGGGGCGTGTCTAGACTACAGGGTTTTGTGGACAAAAGTGGACTTTTGTCGACAAAACTATACCTGCATCTACACTACTGCCAAGTTCTGTCAACAATAAGTTGACAGAACACGGCAGTTTTGTCGATGGTTGTAAACCTCATTTTACGAGGAATAATGCCTTTTGTCAACAGCGTTCTGTCGACAAAAGGCGCTACTGCATCCACACTGTGCTTTTTCAAAAGAGAGCGTCTAGACTCTCTGTCAAAAAAGCAGCTTGCTTTGTTGACAGAACTGGCTGGAGTCTAGATGCTCTTTGTCAACAGAAGCTTTGTCAACAGTATCTGTAGTCTAGACGTACCCCAGGAGACCTCATGATGCCCTGGGAAAAGCTGAAACATGTGGCTGTAGAAAGGTAATCCCATAAATAATGCACCTACATTTATTGTAGTAATGCCCAGAAGCTTTAATCACAGCTGGGGTCTCCCTCTGCTGGGTACTGCACAAATATAAATTAAGAGTCCTTGCCCCAAGGACCTTACACTCTAAACCAGGGTTTCCCAACCTATGGGTCACGACCCAAATATGGGTCGCCATTACATTTCAAATGGGTTGCCAAGTGTCTCCCCAGGTGGCTCTGTCCCCCCTACTCCCCCCGTTTTTGAATAGCTTCGGGTCACCAAGTCTCCGTGAATTGTCAAAATGGGTCCCCATCTGGAAAAGGTTGGGAACTGCTGCTCTAAACAGACAGAAGACAATGTGGGGTGAGGAGAGGATTACTGCACGCAAGCAAAACGACTAGAGAGATGGGGGCACAATGCTAGTGCCAGCTTTTTAATATTGATGATGGACTAGGAGTTAATATGACTAAGGCCTGTGTTCCCTGTAAGCTGAGTGCTTGGGCAGCCACCCAGGAGAGATTCAGGTATTGCCTAGCTAATTAGGAGAGCACCCACAGTTGCCCACAGCCAGCAGCATGTGTTTTCTATGGGTGGTGCACATCCATACATGCCTTAGTGCATATAACAACATTTATCCTGCACACACATGGAAAAAGTTAGAGGGAACATTGACTAAAGCCACGCCAAGATGGAAGAAAGGGGATAAAGTGTAGCAGGGAGGGAACAATGAAGAAGAGCACAGAGGGTGAGGAAGTAGCAAGCCTGGCAATAGAGGGACTGCTAGGGGTAGGGAATCAAGCAGGTCTGGGCAAAATATGGCCCACGGGCTGCATTCAGCCCACCAAGCCCTCGGATCTGTCCCACAGAGGCAGTGGGGAGCCCAGAGGCGCAGCAAGGGTGATATGCGCCCAGGGGCGAAGGCAAAATTGGCACCCCCCACCGCCAAAGGGTGGGGCTCTGAACCTCGCACACAGCTGAGCCTGACCCTGGGAGGAGTGGGGAGAGCTTGTACCGTGTCTTACCCAACCCCCTCCAGTTTGGGGCTGGGTCCCGCATGCACTAACCCTTTGTCAGAGGTGGAGGGTGTCAGGCTGGGGGCAGAGAGGCTGGGAGGAGGTAGCTCCAAGCGGTGGCAGTGGGCAGAGGAGGAGCAGAGGGATGACAGGGGGATTGTAAGGGGACTATACTAGCATCTCACTAGTGTGGCACCCAAGGGCCATTTCCTCTCCCCCTCCTCAGAGCCAGGCACCAGAGGAACGGAATGGCCGGATAAGGGAATCTAACCTTTAAAGTGGCTGCTGCTGCCACCCAGCCCTGCTGCCTCAGCTCGCAGCATGTAGAGAGCCGGGAGCACTTAGCCAATTCCCGGTCTCTGTTCAAAAGCATCACGTGAGCCAGAGCACAGTGCGCTTCGCTGCCAGCCCAGCCCGGCGCCCCCCTAGCATGGCGCCCAGAGGCAACTACCCCTTTCTTTCCCCCGCTTCGCTACGCCTCTGGGGGAATCCCAGGCAGGCTCCTCTGCTTGCCCCCACATGCCACTCAGAAATGCAGCTGCAGGGCACTTTCTCTTCCAGTCCAGAGGAGAGAGGGGAAGATGCTGCTCCCACCCCCAGTACAATCCTATTGGCCAGTTACTGTACAGAAACTGGCCAATGGGAGCTGCCTGTTTGAATAACAGGCAGCCACCTTCCTGCTCACTTGCTCAGGCACATGGCCGAGCAGGTAGAAACATTTTAAGCTCTGCAAGCAGGCTGGTTTGGCTGCTAACTGGTAAGTCTCCTGGCCAGAACCTACCTCTTGCACTCCAGCGCCTCTCTTCCCCAATCCTCTGCTCCCCACTCCTGCCCTGCTACTCCTCATGTATCCATACCATCTCCCAGATCTGGCACTCCAATCTCCTGCCCGAGATCACAATCCCCTCCCTACTAGGGTTATCAGGTAGACTCTGCCAAAAAACCGGACACACTTGAGCGGGGGAGGGCGGGGCGGGGCAGAAGGCAGAGCTGGCAGAGGCGGGG